TCTGTGAAACAATCAGGTTCCTCTGGCTCCTCCTAGTGCTCTCAATGACATTTGTAAGAATCCACCGGGCCTGACCGAAAACAACCAATCAGAGCCGAGAAAGGCAGAAAGACACTTTGGGTTGAAAGCTTGAAGCTAGTTGATTTTTTAGTCTAATTCAGACTTCCACTCTCAGTATCGGACGACCTGGGAATGAACTTCCACAATAAACTATCTTTCTTGGCTCTGATTGGTTGTTAGTTCAGGCCTGGTGGAGAACTAGGAGGAGACATCCAGCAAATATGGCCATCAAGAGTGATGCCGACTTTGCTTTTTTACACTGAACCAAACTACACCGACATAATGCTGCCCCAGTGTGTGGTTTTAGATAGCATGCTTTAGATGGTGCTCTGGAAGCAAAAGAGTCATTTTGGTGGTACCTCTACTTCAGTACCCCCTGTAGTGGAAAAGGCCCTAAAGGAGTTTCAGCACCCTCATGTGGTTCTATGCCAAAGACACTTGTTTTTGTCCCTTTGTGGTGCCCTTACTTCCTGAGTGTTGATGCTGCCCTCTGGCCTTGCTTGTAGAAACTCTTAATATCTGTGTTGTGTTTTAACTTGCATTCCCCTGGAGGCAGGGCATTGTCAAGTAAGTATGACCTGATACTTACTGTGTAGATGATTTTTAACAGGCAAACTGTCAATGTGATTAGGCTAATTCAATTATATGTGCTGTACAGTATATAGTATACATTATCACAAAAACAGCTGCTGGTAATAGATCTTGAAGTTTCTTTATCTAAATCCATATTTGATTATTTTAGTTGTGAACATGACACTCTGTTGCATTCATTCATTAACAGAATCAAATTCAGAATAATAGCATTTTTTTATCAAAACACTGTTTAACAACTATTTGAAGTCTGTAGAGGAGGTTTGGAGGATTTGTCAGGCTGAAACCACCATCTCACACCTTTAACCACCAATAACCGTCCATAGTCTGACAAAACTAGAGGCCTTACAGGTTCAGTCGCTGCATAGAGAGCCAAAGTTAAACCAGTACTTCCAGGATTTGTTCCAGAAGAAACAAAACTTCATTTGAAATCACACTGACATTTAATAACATAAATTATCCAGAAATATGTTTATAACCAGTTAAGCTAACCTAACCAACATTATTTGGAAGCTAATGATAATGTTTTGTTGTTTGAGCTACATTGGGTTCATTTTACATCATTATTAGCATTTGGATAAAGTATTGGGTCAGATATGTTGGCCGTATATTACCTGTTATACCCCTTACTCTACTGTATATATCAGCAAGCTAATGCTAGCTACCCAACAGTTACATCTGGCAGCGAACTGGTTGTAAACCTGGTGATTATCTCCATAGACATATGGACCGGGCAATACTGGCCTGTAAACCAGGGAGCTGCGTTTTTCTGGATAAAAAGCACATACGTTAACATTTACATTTCTCAACTGATTTCATTGTGTCATTTTTATACTAAAAGGTTTATTTTTTGTCTCCAGTTAGCTAGAATCTCAATAGTTAGGCTATAATAGCAGTGAGACGCCTTATGATTATAACATTATGATTATTATGACAATAAATTATTTTACATACACTCCTCTCTTCAGTGTCTTGCTGCTATTATAGCCTATTAACTACTGAGATTCTAATTAACTGCGGACAAAAAAAAAGAAATGTAAACGTAGTAGTGCTTTTTATCCAGAAAAAACACAGTTCCCTGGTTTCCCTGTATTTGTTTACAGGCCAGTATTGCCCGATCCAATATGGCAGC